ACGTTGAGATTCAGAGTGAGTCAGAGGGACTCTAATGCCGTCCAGGCTTTGCCATCATCTTTAGTTCTTTAATTTTTCTGTTTGACTCAAAATTCCCCCTGAAGCACAGCAGAGAGGAAGCAGGAATAAAGGATGATGGGTAGGTGGAGATGTTTTTAAGCCTTAAGGCTTTCCTTAACACCCAGGGAAGTATTGTTTTGGAAATTTTTCACCCTTTAAGTGGCTGTCGTGGGCCTTTGCTTCTGTGTATCCCATAAATCATATGGTATTAACTCCTTAGAATGGATGGCTGGCAGCTCCTGGGCATTGCCCGGCAGTTTGAATCATGATTGCTTCTCCCTGAACTGCCAGTGGATTGTAAAGTTATGAATTGCCTTTCTCTTAGTGCAAAGCATAGGTGTTAAGAGCTTGGTCCTTGGAGGGAGGTGGACTTGGGTTTGAGTATTGGCTTCTCCACTTGCAAGCTCTATGACTTGGGTAATTTGCTAAACTTCTCCAGGCCTGAGTACTTCACCAGACTGCTTCCCTCAGAGAGGTTACTGTGAGATGAAGCACGGGCAGTGCCCAGTCTGATGCCTGGCACGTGGTGATCACTCAGTGGTGACAGTTAATGCTGCTGTTTTGTCATTGTCATAGCTTCAGGATCATCCAGGGAAGTCAGCTAGGAGTGAGGAAGAGGAGATCTGTCTCTTTGCTGGCCTGCGTAGTTCCTCGGTGACTCAGACAGGACGGGTGACCATCTAGGCGAGGACCAGTGCCTCCTACAGAGGATGCGCTTTGGCTCTTTTGCTCCTGGGTCAGAGTGAGTGTTGACTTGAACATTTACAAGGGCTGTGGCACCTCTTGCCTCAGTGGGCACTTGTTCCATTCCTCTCAGTGAGTACTTGCCAAAGTCAGGAGTCACAGTCATTTTCCTCAGCGTGCGTGGGAGGAAGAGGAATGCACAGGAGGTCAGTCTTGTAGGATCTCCTGGAGCAGGTGGACACGATACCCTCTCCTTCCCCACTCCCCTGCAGGTGTTTCAAAATCATCATAGCCAGGCCTGATTCCGTAAGAATGGGGGGCAGCCTGGGCATCTGTGCTTAAATAAAGCTCTCCAGGTGATTCTGGCGCTCGCCCTGATGAGGAGCCATTGCCATGAAGAAATTCTGATCCACAGTAAAGAAATTCTCCAGATGCGGAGACGGATGCCTGGAGAAGGAAGCAGCAGGCCAGGGCAGGCGTGCTGAGCCACGGTGGTACAGGATGGAGCTGCATGTCTCCTGCCTCCTTCCTGGGCATTTGTCCTCTCCCCAGGCTCGTTCTTTCCCCGTATTTGCTGCTCCTTGTGGTGGGGTCACAAATAGCCCAGCCTGGGGGAGCCCACACCCTGGAGTCCAGTGAGCAGCGAGCTGTTGGCCTTCTTCACTCCGGAGAAATCTTTGGAAACAAAGCAAAGGGAGGCCTGGGATTCCAGGCTGTGACCTGCTGCCTCGCTGCTCCTTGCATAACACCAGTGAGGTTTCGCCTCCAGGAGCTGGTTCAGCCCTGCTCAGCATCCTTACTCGTCGTGTGCATATGGCAGCGCCGCCTCCGGGAAAACCAGGGCTCTGGCAGTCCCCAGGTCCCCATTTGCTCCAGTTTTGCTCACTGGATTCCTGCCAGGTGTGGCAGCTGCTGTGACACAGTATGTGCCACATTTGGTACTGGGCTAATGCGATGTAATACCAATACTGCAACACCAGGTACTCGACTCCGACTGCGAGCTGTGTGCTCTCTGTGCACCGTCTCGTTAATTTCTCCCAACAACCCTAAGGGTTGTTATTCCTGCCTTAAGATAGGGAGAAACTGAGGCTCAGAGAGCCAGTAAGCAGCAGAGTTGGAATTAGAGCCCAGGATGTCCAGACGTGCAGGGCCTGTGCTCTCAACTGCTCTGCTCTCCTGTTTGCTTTCCACTAAGTAAGCTCACTCCCTGCCCTTGCTGGCTCGGCTGTCACTGGAACACCAGCCACACCAGTGTGGGACTCGGGAGCCTGCCCCGCCAGCACCAGTCTCGTCAGCAAATGTCTGACGTGTGACTGGAAATGACGTCATCGTGCCTGGTGGGTTTTGGAAATAACGGTAAGCTGTGTTTATTGTGGCTACGGTTCTCAGAGACAGCACTGGTTGTTCCCAAGGTCTGTTCGTCAGCCCTAGCATGTGTCCTGGTAGCCTGGCATCTGTGCCGTGGTGACGTTTCTTCATCAATGCCCGGGTGTGGGGCATACAGGCTCATTTATGGAGCGATTCATTGCCTGCCTCCCTGCAGGAGGGGGCCTGGAGGTTGTGACCGTGGCACAGGATGCCAGGGAGATGCGGCCTGCCTGCTGCTCCGTGCCTCAGCCCCCACACTCGTCCCCTGCCCCTTTACCTGCAGTACCTTCACTCCTCCCACCTTGTTTCCTTCCCCGTGAAAGGGAGGGACCGTCAGACTTGGCGCTCTTTCTGGGATCCTCAACTTCGTTGCCTTGTGCGTCCTTCTCCCCAGCCGGCCCCCGGGGCAGTCAGCCTGTTCACACCTGAGCCCCGATTGCTCCACACTGATAGAGAGATCTCCGCGTCTTGTAGAGGGGCCTCCACAATCAAGTTCTTTGACCTCAGTTGGGCTCTTACTCCTGTTTCTCTCCATCCTTTCTCCACAGAGAGATTGCTCTAAAATGTAGATATGATCATGGCTCTGCCCTGCTTAAAACCCTTTGCAGGATGATCCGTAGATAGAACACTCAATACTTCTTGAATGTGAACACTCAGTGCTTGGCTTCATGAATCAATTGATGGTTCACAGGCAGTTACAGCTTGAACTCCTTGTTCTCCTCTTTCTCCTCCTCACCTACCGCACTTGACTAGTCTTAAAAAACAAAAACACTTAGAGGCTCCCTGGGGGTCCTGGGGCCCTCAAAACCAACAAGGAGAACAAGCTTATGGTCTTCTGCATCTTAATTTTTGGCTTTGCTCTTAGCCCAGGCCTATTTCCTGGCCTCTTCATGACGCAGTCCGGCATAGCCGCACTGAGCCTCCTTCCCTTCCTGATCCGTGAAGCTGTCTGGCCCCTGAGCCTTTGTACCTGCTGTTCCCAAGCATTCTCTCCACTTGGATTATCCCACTCTGGCTCACTCCTGAGCTCTGTCCAGGCCCTTTGGGAAATTCTGTCTCCCTTCCCCTAGTCTGGTTGGGAGCCCAGGCTTATCCCTGTCATGGCACTTGGAAATCCAGGAATAAAAACATGACACTTCTCTGGCTGGCTGATGCTTCTTAGTGAAGCAAGGTAGGAGTTTCATTTGTCAGCACTTATTTCAGCAAGCAAAATTTAGAAGAAAGTTTTAAAGCATTTTTATAATTATTGGTGCCATTTTTCTGTTATTCACAAAGAAGAGAATTGAGTGTTCACATTCAAGAAGTATTTAGCTTGTTTGGGGGGGTGGGCTGCAGTTCCTGTCGACAGCGGGTTTGATGGGGCAGGTGCAGCATGAGCTGGTCGTTTCCCTGACCTGCCAGTGTGAGCAGGAGAGCTGCACCCAAAAAGGACACAGAAGGTTCCTACAAATGGGAAAGTTTTAAGTCCTTGGGAGCCCTTCTTTATCCAGCGACTCTCCTCAGTTTTCACATCTTGTCCTCAGTGAAGCCTTTCCCATCCCCCAGCCGAGGAGCACCTGATTGCATGCTCCGGCACGCGCTCTGTGTGCATATCTTTCAGTGAGGCGTTGGCGTGTGCTTCAGTGCCCCTCTCTCCCCATGGGATGGCGGCTGCCACGTTCACTGCTCTGTCCCAGGGCCTGGCTCAGATGGGGCTCGGTAAGTTTGTATTGACTGAATTAAAAAAGGGATGAGAACTAGAGAGATTTAATAATAATAAAAATAATAACAAGACTGCCAGAGAGGTTGCTAGATAAGAAAGCCTCTGCTGATCTGCCTGCTGTGATCTTGCTGCGTCAGCTGTGTGCATCTGAAGAGGGGCCGCCGCAGCGCTAGGGGTGGGTGTGTTCTACCCTCTCGACTGTGAGAGTCAGAATTTCCCTGAAAGACTTTCTGAACATCCCCTCATTCATGCATTCAGTCTCTCAGAGGAGGCTCTTGCAGATACTGTCAGTTGATAATCATCTCGAAGGTAATTTAGGATTCCAGGAATTTCTTTTGGAATCCTAAGCTTGAGTGCCCGCCACTAATCATGAGCCAGGAGGAGGAGGAAGAGGAAATTCGAACCTTCACCACCCACAGTCCCATTCTTAACCTGAGTCAGTAATTGAATGCTATTAAGCAAAATTAATTTGCCTCCTGCAGGAAGGTGTATGGTGAATGAAAGGGTTGCTGTCGGGAGGGAGCCAGGCTGCCCTCTGGTCATCAATATTTCATAGCTTGAGGCAGTGTCAGAAAGTCAGCTGTCCTGGTGGGGCTGACCTTGAGCAGTTGCAAAGGTATGACATAGTCTGGGAGGTTGTACAATAATAAAAAAAAACCCAAAGGGCTCATTACAAGTCACTTACTGAAAACTGGACTGAAGTTTGCGAAATGCACCTGTGGGTTCATTGAATTTACACCCTCAGCTAGTGGGAGGTTCCCCCAAGCTGTACTCTGTGACCAACCTGAGACTGGTCCTAGCGGAGGGCACAGCTGTGTGCAGAGCTGCACTGTTTACTGCTGGCTCTCTGGAGGCGGGGAGGGTCCTGACGTGCAGCGTGTGCCGATTCCTGTGATGAAAATACACTCCCAGTGTGGCCAGGTTCAAGCTGCAGACCCCAGAGCAGAAGTTGCCGGTGCAAGCCAGCTCCAGCTCACCACCACGGCTGTGCTGCCCCAGAGCTCCCTGTTCCTCCTGGTGACTGGGGAGAGCCTGCCCAGGGAGTTCGTGTCCAGTTACACGCGTGGCCTCTGCGTGGTACTCGTCTGCGCTGGGCGTGGCCTCTGACTGAGAGGGTGCCTGAATGGGACTTGCTTTTCAGAATGAGAAAAGTTAATGAGCCTTTCATTTTGTTCTTTTTCCCTAGCTGCTATTAACTTAGCAAAGCTGAAACTTTTCAGACATTATTACGTCTTGGTGAGTAACAAAAAATACTAAATCTGTAAATAAGATCAATTCAGGAGTAGAGCAAATGAACTTCTAAAGAATTGGTGAAAACACAAGATGTTGTACTTACTACCTGGTGCTGTGTGGGTTCCATTTCATAAAATCAAGCTGTGTCTCTTAAGATGGGAAATTAAATATCTGGATTACTTCCTTTTAATTTTAAATTTGGCTTTAAATACTTAGAAAAGTAATACAAGCTTGATGGAAAAAAATTAAAAATGCAGAGTTGACAGGAACACAGTGGAGCGTGTGTGAGCTGGTCTTCCACTTCCCTTCCTGCCCTCCCCAAGGTAATGACTGTTGGCCTTGAGTGGTTATTCCTGTAGGTTTCTTCTTAGGCATACGCCATACATAGCTGCCCATTTGACTTGCTATTTTTATTCATTTAGAAAAATGGGATCAAATCAAAATGCTCTCAGCCTTTTTTTTTTTTTTTCATTTAAAAAAATTATTAGAGTATGTACCTCTCTCTTCTTTCACATTTCCCTACAGAAAACTAGTTGCATGTTATGGTAATAATATTTACCTTAAGAACAGAAAAATTGAGACAGTTTTTGTAAAACCTAAAAACAGGGTTATGAGGGACAGGAGAAGTCCTATCAGCATAGTGCTGAACACTGCACATGCTGTAAATCATTAGTGTCCTAATTTCTTAGAATATGTAAAGTAGGGTCTTCCGGAGTTAGTTTGCTTCCTGACTCTTACAAGAAAGTTTCCATGTCTCCCATCCGTGGTTTTGGCATTGACTGTCACTTGGGACAGTTCTTTTCCTGAGCCAACGTTAGAGACTTGAGCAGTAGAGAAGCAGGGGCGGACCACTCACTTGTGTTGTCTGGTTTGTTTTTCCTGTGGATTTTTGTGACGGGTGTAGGCATTGTCACAGAGCCTCTCGTTGCATGCGGGGACAATGATGAGTGGTCCTCAACGGCCAGGCCTGGGTAGTGGGCCTTCATGCCTGAAACCCAAGTGTGCCTGGCCTGGCCCGCAAACTGGCCACTCGAATTTAGTCCCTGTGAGCAGCCCATGCGCTAGTGGCCGGCATGTTGAGTTCTCGTCCCAGTGAGAAGAAATGAAGGCCATCCTTGCTAGAGTGCTCGATAGCGTTTGTACTTCCTCCAACGTTTACAGCATCTGCCGGTGACAGACTGGAAGTTAGTGTTGCCCTGTGTGACTCTACTTAGCTGTTACTACTGTAAATATTCCTCAGAGCCTGGGAATCAAAATACTACCCTTTGGAGATTGAAATCAGGGGTTGTGATTAAGATGAGGAAAGGTTAACAAAAACCATACTAGTGTCTCGTCCTCCCTGTGGGTGTTGCTGCTGTCAATGCCTCGGTCACCTGGAGATAGCGAAGAAATCCTTTCAGGTGGGACTGGCAGAGCAGCGTCACTCTGCGTTCATTGCTGAGCACTGTACGTGTCAGATGCTTTTCTTTGGGTAATTTGTTTTTTATTCCGTAGTTAATTTGTGAAAGCAAAAGTGGTGCCCTGATTTTTATGTTGATTTTATTTTCTGTTTCTTTCCTCTTCATGTAGATTGTGTGTTACATATACTTCACCAGGATTATTGCATTTCTCCTCAAACTTGCTGTTCCATTCCAGTGGAAGTGGCTCTACCAGGTATGCTGTTCACAGGGGACAGTGCTGGAGAATTTGTAACTTACCGTTGTTATTAATTTATCTGGGAATGACCACTAAGACCTTCTGTCTCTTCTGGTCTACAATTAGGATTTTCTGTTTGTCCAGGAAAGCTGCTGGATTATGTGAGAAATCTGAAAATAATTGCATTATTGATTTTAGTTTTCAATCTTAAAAGTCTTTGAAGAGAAAAGCTTCAGGCAGAGGGAGTAAGACTTGCCTTGTATAATTAGAATTTAGATGAGGCATGGTCTTTGCCTTCAGTTACAGGGCTTAGGACAGTTTAGAGTCAGCCTCCCTTCCTCTTTGCTGATTATCATTGTTTCAGTAATGAAGTATCTTCGCAATATGTTAGAACTAGTTTAACTGGTAGGGTAAGCCACCACATGATTAGAGACTTTTTTCTTGAAGAACTTGGTGCTTTAGGCGCTGTAGGAAAATGTGGATATATAAAGAGCTCTTAAAAGCTACCAGTGAAGACTGGTTCGAGCAAGGAAAAGCACAACCGTCGTCTCTGAGCAGGATGCTCCTAGTTTAGGCTTCAGCAAGTGGAGGAAAATGCTCTCTAGCGTAAACTCTGACGTGTGAGTGAGTAGTCAGCAGGGGTGGGTTGTGGGGGAGTACGTCCGTTTGTTTAGTTCCACTGCTCTCTGAAGAACAGCCTTGCTAATAATCTCTTTATTTTGGGGTGGTTTTTAAACTTGCAGCTCCTGGATGAAATGGCCACGCTGGTATTCTTTGTTCTAACGGGGTATAAATTCCGTCCAGCTTCAGATAACCCCTACCTGCAACTTTCTCAGGAAGAAGATGACTTGGAAATGGAATCTGTGTAAGAAATCTCCTTTCTTTCCTCTCTTCCTTTGCCCTGACCCCTTTACCTAACAAACCCCAGCACAGTGTGACTTGGACCAGCTGTTCTCAGCACTTTGTTGCTCCAGAGGTGGTTCTCTTTTTAGCAGCAGGAAGCGGACACTCACGCGCCAGGCTCTCTTGTTCAGTTTGAAGTACAGTATCTGCCAATTGCTCAGTCTTATCGGGGAGGATGGAACTTGCCATCCTACTAAGCGTCACTGGTGGCCGCTTCAGTAACTCAGTGGGGCGGACTTGGGAAGGTACTTGGCTGGTTCAGAACTACTGAGAACAGGCAGCTGCCCTTCCTGTCAGGCCTCACCCTCAGCTTGTCTCTGAAAATATAATCTTCTGAGTCATGTGTGAGTCTGCTAATGATGCTCAGACATCCTTTGTCATCAGATAACTAAGTGGCTTTTCACAGCCAGTGCAGTGCCTTTGCCCTGTCATATGGGCTTTTCTGAGTAAGGGTGAGTGATTCTAGGGCCCTATTTCCTGGGAAAGGGCAGTCATTTTCTAGAAATGTGAATAGTGATTACGTGGGTTTGCTTGTGCGCTCTGCAGCGTGATAAGCCCGGTCACTTCCCTTTTCATGTCACTGGTGTGGAGTGTTCGCCCCAGCACTGGCAGCCTTTTGCTTTTCTCACTTCAGAGGCTGAGGTTCAGCCCCTGCTGGCTCTGCTCGGTGTCAGGCAGCGTGGGACAGCTCTGTGCTCAGGTGCACTGCTGGGACAATAGACAGAAGGCAGGGCCTGCTAGTGGGCCCCAACCAGCATGTCCCTGTGCACAGGAAGAAATACCTTTTTATAGACAGTGGAGGGGAGAGTAGAGGACCATCAGACGTGCTTTTCTAGAAGTGGCTGGGTCTGAGCAAGTGACGGTTGGTTGAAGACACACAAATGAGAGTCTGGCAAGCAGCAGCGTCAGTAACCTAAACACGGTGTGTTTCTCCATCCCCTGTTGGGAGACCTTTCGCTTGCTCCGCAGCCGCAGCTGTCTGCAGTTTCTCAGGCAGGCTGCTGGAAGCTGAACGGCGGTGTCATAGCATCTCTGCTTTCCTCAGTCGTGGCCCACGTCTTTTCCCTCAGCCGTTGCATCTTGAAGCCTGGATGCATTGTGAAGGCATTTCGTCTCATGGCAAAACTTCTAAAAATTTTATTTTTGTGTTTGTTTCTCTCTGATGATATTTGAGGCTAGTGGCAGTCATTTTAGCAGGGGGGCCTCTGTGTGTTAAAACCAGGGGAGGGGTGCGGGAGGGAGTAGATGCACAACCACCAGCCTAGTGGGAACTAGAGTGCGTGTTCTTCATTCTGGCACGACTTGGGAGAGCTTGGCGTGTTGGAGTCAGGGATGCCTCAGTTTACGCTCCTCTGTGACAAGGGGAAGAGCCCTCGGTCATGCAGAGTGAGTGGCTTGGTGGGAGCCGTACCGCAAATGTGAGGTGAGCTCTTCAGCGGCAGAAGGCTGCACGTGGAACAGCTGCGGAGAGAGTCCACCCAGAGGAGGGCCCGTTGAGGGCAGGGGTCTCTCCCGTGAGCACTAGCTCAGTCTAGCCTGCGAAACAGAAGTCATTTAGGAGGCATTGAGGCAAAGTGCTTTTAAATCAGCAAGGAAATGGTTCTGGGGAAGTTCTTCTGGAGTTTCTCTTTAGCTGAGAACGAGAGGAAAGTCTTGTGGATGCATGAGATGTGACAGAGCAGAACGGGCCTGAGATGGAGGCGCTGCTGTCACCCTCCATCCACACTCCCCTGCCAGCCAGCGAGCGCAAAGGCTAATTACAGCTTCTCGGAACGGCCTGGCGGCCGCGCTGCCACCCCCTCTTCTACTTGGAAGTGCTGTTCCTGGATGGCACCACTTCAGTCCTCCAGAAATAACCCAAGCCAGAGGCAAGCAGAGCCCTTGCCTCTGTGTTCTGGAAGGTCATTAGCTCTCTGTAAAGTGTCATCCACATTGGTAGGTGTTTTCTGAAAAGGGAAGCCAGGTCCGATCCCTGCCACAGAACGAAGTACCTCTTTATGGGACGTAATATTTTTTATGACTTCCACCCTCCTGTTTCCCCCAACACACACCCCCAAACAAATCCACACTCTTCCTAACGAGTCTTAGCCAGTGGGAAGACGTGAACTCTGACCTGGGTCACTCACTGACCTTGCGACCGAGATTCTGGCAGTTTCTTTTGCATATGTTCTCACCTTTATCTGAAGCTGAGCTGTGGGGCTGCAGCGTGTTGGGAAGTGAGTCTTGCCAGCCGACCCCAGGACTGAGCTGTGCTCTCCTTGGGGGTAGAGAGCGTCCAGGCGAGCTGCTTCCACCCCACCCCCAGCCTGGGCCCGACCCAGTCTGCGGGGCTGTACAGGCGTTATCCCACCAGGCCTAACACACCTTCTCTCTGAGCCTGGCAATGAGCAGAAGTCATACTAACTTTCTGTCTCTTTCTCCTTCTGTTTCTTTGAACATCTCTCGTTAGGCGTACCAATTTTGGTTACAGAATTTGTTGTTAAAATAATCACGTTAAAAAGTACTGGATGCAATTTTAATGATCAGATTTGGTAGCTGCTCCTCTGCTGTGCATATCCTCAATGATCTGAATTATTTCTGTCCTCTTGAGGAGTGAGAGTGGGAAGAAATCCTTGCCGTGGGTTCGCAGGCAAGGAAGTTATCTCCCTGGGGTTCCCGTTCCAGGACGCTGTCCTAAAGGTTGCTGTTAACCGTCACTACTTCTTTCAGGTGGGTGGGAACAAAAGCGGAAACGGGAATTGGAGACTAATAGGATTCTCTCTTAACTGGGCCTCTCCACATTTCAAGTCCAGAAAATAGTTTTTATCTATTGAAGCACATGCATCCGTGGGCCACTCAGGCCTCATCAGATGGCGGTCTGGTGCAGCAGAAGGAGCCTGCGCTCCATTCGGCACTGCGGCTCTGGGGCTTTGCAAGGAAAGGGTGGTGGTGTGGGGGCCGGGGGAGTGTCCCCGTTTAGATGTGGAGAGAACATAGGAGACAGCCTGGGTTTGTCTGCTCAGCTTTCCCCTGCATCCTCCGCAGACTCACCTGTACTGGGCCCACAGGCAGCGCCTCTGCTTGGCGTGACACTGAGGCCTCTCCCTCTGGCCGGCTTAGGAGCTGCCGGCCCTTGAGGCAGGTGCCTTCCTGAAGTCAGTAGTGGCTCAAAGAACTGCTTACCTGAGCAGCACTGCAGGAAACAGACAGCTTCTGCCGGAAGCAGGCGGTAGGTTTGGCAGGTAGAGAGGCCAGCATGTCCTGTTGCACCGAGTCTGCTTGCACCTGGCTGTGAGCAGCTCTGTCAGCCCTCCAGAGTGGGGACAGCGTGGCCAAGTGTCGTGTCACCGTGCTGTGATGCGGGCGTGCACCTGGGGTGAGAGGAAGGAACACAGAACAAGAAGGGCAGGCCTCACTTCCATCTGCAGAGTGAGGTGGTTCTGGTTCTGTGACCTGAGCTGCTCCAGGCCCGTCACTAGATCTGCAGAGTTGGAGTTCACACTGCGAATCGCCCTGCTCACTGCTTAACCTGAGCTTTGTAGAGCACCTTCCCGTGCTGCCCCCAGAAGGGCATTTGAGATGGTGATCTGTGGTGCAGGTTGCTGGTTGGCTGTTGGCACTTGAGCTGATTGGCCCTGTAAGTGTTTGCACCAAAACTGGGACACCCAGGGAGCTGCCTGCGAGGTTGTTAAAGCCCTACGTCCATGTGTCCCTGCTGGGGAGGCCTTAGGTGTCCTTTCTCACTGCTGCAGTGTCTGAGCTGCAGAGGGGACGGCTGGAGCCATGTCTGCAGGGGCTGGCCAGGCTCACCTGCGGTGCTGGGGCCCCAGGTGGCCCTTTAACTTCCCAGGTTTGCTGCAGGAATGGGATGCAGTCTCTCCCCACCCCATCTGCCATCAGTTTTCTTTATCTACTTAAGTTCACTTCAGCTGTTCCCAGTCCTGGCCACACACTGACCCTCACTGTCATCTGCCCTACCTCTGACATCCTCCTGTGCTCCCACACACCCTTACCCCTATTCTCCCTCTCGTTCCTCGTACTCACCCAACCCCAAGATGGCCCCAACCATCTCCTCGCTGCCACGCCCCAGCTTCAGCCCAGTCACCCTCCTGAGCAGCAGGTCCCTCTGTGTGCCTCTTCCTGGTGTTCCCACAGGCCTTAGCGACACCACCATCTACCCTGTTGCCAGCAGCAGAAGGCGGGTGGTGACTGAAACGCCTCCCTCTTCCTCAGCCAGTGTGGGTGAGTGCCCATGTCTCGTGGGCCGAACATGTCTCTCAGCCCCTCTCCCCTCTCCAGCGTGAGGGCTGGTTTCCTCACTTCTGGTCGCCTCCCCTTCCTGTCCATTCTCCTGGGCTGCCAGGATCACGTGGAGAGTGTTTTTAATGTGTAGGTTCCCTGGCTACTCCCCTGGAGACCGATTCTGAGTGCCTGGGGCTCGGTATCTGTGCTTAACTCCCCAGGGCATCCTGGGCCAGAGCTGAGACCCCTGGAATGAAGATGACGTTTGTCCTCCAGACAAGGCAGACGGGGCCTTCCGCAGCCTGCCCGTGTCTGGCCCCAACTCTCCTCCTGCCCCTTTCCTTCGTGGGCTGGCTGGAGATCCTCATGCGACTACCCAGCATTCTCCGACTGCTCTGGGAAACTTGGTGGCTTTTTTCCTCCATGCCTCTTGCCTACTGTATTTCTTCTGTTCAGAAACTGTCCCCCCGCCATATTCCTCACCAGTTGCTTCTCATCTTTCAGTACAGGCGCCACAGCTTCCCCCGTTCCCCGGGCCGAGGAGATTCTTCTCATCCTGAGCCACAGCCGAGCCTGGTTCCTGGCACTGCTGTGTGTGTTGTACGTGGCTTTGGGTCGTTGCTTGGGAAAACTGTCTCTTTTACTGGGCTGTGCCTCCCTAAGAGCAACAATTTCATGTTTTCCTCTGTGACCTAGCACCAGGCCTGTCTTGAAAGAATAGAAGCTGTTTTCTCACTTGGTTCACCATCTGGAAAGGAACATTTTCTTAAGGAGAGAAAGGTTCACAGGGTCTCTGCAAGCACACTGTGAGCTATACCTGGGTCACCGCGAGTGTGCTTTCCTTTCGGTGCCAATGCGTGCTGAACTCCTTGTCCTTTTTTAACAAGGTGCTGTAACCATAGGATAGTTGCATTATTACCAGGAGTGTTTCTGGAAGACTTGAGGTTGCATTTCCTCTCTGATACGAAGAGGTGTGGAGACGCGTGGTGGCTGCTGGTGGGGCTCGGGGCGAGGCCCTGCCTCCGTGGCCCAGCCTGGAGCAGCCCTGTGTGCCTCGGCTCCCCCTGGGGGAAGCGTCACCTCTAGGGGACGTCAGGCAGGAAGTGATGCTGGGTGGTCAGCTGGGGTGTTTTCCTTTGCCTTGGGGGATGTTTTTACACTGACAGCATCTGTGGGACTCCCTCAATTCCCACGAGAACCACGTTGTGGCCACATATCTTGTCCCAACTTTGCCACAGATACAAATAACCTGCAAGTCTGAAAGATCTTATTTGAGAAAGTTCCCGACTCTGGGGAGGGCCGGATGACTTTTGAGCCCGGTTATGGCAGCAATATGGCGGCAGGAATGGCAGGAGGAAGAAAAGGGGAAGGGTTTCCTCCCTTACCCCGTAAAAATATCTGCTGTGAGGTCCAGCTGGATGTACTCCAGATGATTGAGTTGATTGACTGAATTTATTTTACTGATTAAGAAATTCCTGTTGGTCCACAATGGGGAACATAAGTGCCTCATTGTTTCCAGGCCTGGGCCAGGTGGTTTTTGACACTCAGTACATCCGCTTGGTTTCTCCTGCCACTTACAGAGCTGCCAGTTCCTTCATAGACACGGAGCACCCTAGAATCTTTCCAGCTCACCTTTTGTGAGGGAGGAGATTGTCTTCTTGGAGATGGCGTCCTCTCAGGAGACGTGATTCAGTCTGCTGGAAATGGCTGCCTTACTTAGCTCCTCACGCCTTGTCAGGCCAGGGTTCTTCCATCTTTAAATCTCGTGTTCAACGAGCGGCTTTATGGCACCTCCTCAGCGCCGAGCGCTGGCGGACGGAATGGGAGCTCAGCGTGGAGGCAGAGGCCACGTGCTGACAGCACGGCCGGGTCCCAGCCTGCAGGAACCAGGGCTGGATTTGCCAAAAGCTATTAGTTCTCTGTCTGTAGCAGTCAAAGAATCTTTGGGCCGAGAAGATTCCTAGACCTGTGATTCTGTCCCATGACTCAGAAATGATCCATTGTGGCTGGTTATTATAAATGTCTGTACAGCTAATTAGCCTTCTTTTGCGATTGTTAATTATGGCACAGATATCAGTCTCATAACCATAACTACCATGTATTTATGCAACATAAAAATTCTGGGGATCATGACAAAAAGAGATCAGTGATGATTGTAATAATGACAGCTGGCATTTATTGATTAAGTACTTTGGAGAATCTCATTTTTTTCCTAATGACAGTTCTGGAAAGTGAGATTTATTATGCTTAAGCACAGAGAGGTCAAGTGACTTGGCCAAGGTTACACAGCTCCTAGCAAGAGCAGGCCAGGATTCGAACGTAGGTCTGTCTGATTCTAGAGCCAACACCTTTAACTGCTCCTAACCACTGTGCTGTGTGGAGGTGGCCTTTTATTATAAGACTGTGAGATTTTCCTAATTGTTTTCTTCTTTCCTTGTTCAGAGTGACAACATCAGGGGTGATGGAGAACGTGAAGAAAGTCAAGAAGGTGACCAACGGCTCTGTGGAGCCCCAGGGTGACTGGGAAGGCGCCGTGTGATGGAGCCGACTTTGAGGATGGCGCACCGTCAAAGAAAACTTTTAATTTATTAATAGTCCTATTGGTGAGCAAGAGCAGTTCCTGACAGTGAACTATTGGCACCTCCCGACAGTGCCACCACAGAGCACGTGGCTGGGAGCAAAGTGCCACAGAAACCTAACTTTGTACTCTCCTATGGAAGCTGCATCTGTGGCCGGTGACGGGCAGCTAGAATTCTCCTGCAGGATGGAGTCGCGGGGAGGGAGAGAGAGAGAGAGGGGGGAGGAAGAGAACAGGAAGAATTTGGTCTTGATTTAAATTCTTTTTTCAGGTGAGAGCTCTCGGGTCTATGCAGCTGGGACCCCACGTGTTGCAGCACAGGAGCGTTGGTGGGAGGGGAGGGAGGCCGGGAGGTGTGCGTGATCCAGTCACGGTACAGGAGCATGGCTGTGGGACGTGGTCAGGCATCTACTGAGGACTTACACGGAAGGGAAAGCAAGAGTGTCATTGCATCTTTGCGAGGACAGAAATGAATGAAATTAGGTTATTTGAGAAAGCCAAGTCCCAGCCCAATTTAGTCTGCGGCACCTGCCCCAGCATTCCTGCCCCTGAACGTTACCCCAGACCTTTACTCCAGATTTTGAAAGTGACCAGGATCCGATAGCTCTGGAGGCCCAGTGGTCTTCTTTCCAAAAGGGCTGTCATCTGAGGGTTGCAATGTCACTGTCAGGGTCATGGTCCTGGGAAATGGGACCAGGGGGTGGGAAATGATTTTCTTGATTGAGTGTAGACTGTGTTGCCTAGTGGGTGGAAAGAAATGTATTTTTAAGCTTCAAAAGCATTCTCCTGTAGGATTTCCCTGAACATCTGGCTCCCCCATCTCTTGTTTCCCTCTCTTCCCATGGCTTGTTATCTATTTTATGTGATCAGAATTTTGGGGAAAATGAGAAGAAATTTTCCTTAAGGGCAGCTAGGGGCAGAAAGGCAGTGTTTAAGCAAACATGTAAGTACAAGCAAATCATCCTCATTAAAAAGCTGTTCCTAAAGGTTAGGTAGGACTTCTGAGTACAGGAATTAAACAGGCTTGGTCCCCTTGTCTCAAGAGTATGCATGTGAAGAAGATGAGTGTGATTAAACAGTTTACACTCAGGGATTTGGGGAGAGTGAAATCTTTCACAGAAACTCAATGAAGTTCCCTTCCAAACTTTCAGAGCTGGGGGATGAACACAAGCAGTTACCTGAAGTGAGCAGTGTTACGACTCAGAGATCAGTCACTTGAACAATGGGACAAGCTCCGAAGGTCTGTCGTGACCACGGGCTTACCTGGAGACCCAAGCATGGCCCTGTCAGGAACGCTGCTTCCGGAAGCTTGAGCCCACCCCTGCCTGGACTTGTCAGTGAGCCTGCTCCTGCAGGAGACAGGGACCTCCTGGGGTGGGGGGGGTGACTGTCACCCATCACCTCTGGCTCAGAAGAGCCAATCAGAAACCACAGGATTTGGGGTCACACTTGCTATCCCAGGTTTGGGAACCTGAAAAGTCTCTACTTAGCAAACAGTTGTTTTCCCTCTCCCGTGCCATTTTAACTGCCTGAATGACCCATGAGGGGCCAGGTGTTCTTTCTGTGCACTTTTCTCAGCGCTCTGTCCTCTGCCCGGTCCCACCTGCTGGCTCACGTGGCCGAGTGGGCCTCTTCCCGGGCCCCAGCTGCTTGCCTCACGGCAGAGATTTTAGGGAAGTGTTTGTGTAACTTCCCATCTTCGGGAGAACGGTAAACACGTCCGAAGGATTCACTTAAGGGAATTGTTTTTTAAAAAATTAACTTGGAGCTATATAAAGGAGGGAAGATGGGAACATTTTTAATACTTTGTTTTCCTGTGTGCACACACAGTAGTAGTGCTGCAGGAGTGTGTCTCATGCCGCGACCACCAAAACCCTCCTAGGTACTTCCCTCAGAGGGACACGTTTGCTGTTCTCCTACAAGCAGATGTTGTTGCCTGGGCGGCAGGCTCCTTGGCAAGAACAAGAGGTGCGATGGAACCTCCCTCCTAGCCAGGGTCTCCATGGAGGTGTCCTCAATTCACATACTGGGGTTTTGAAACAAGGAAACCAGTGAGTGGAGGAGTGAGGGAGGGTGAGCATGTGTGTGGACAGGCACTGTCCAGCCCGGCAGCAAGACTGGAGCCTTCGAGATCCTGCTAGCACGTGAGCCCAGGCACTGGGTGTCCTTCAGATCCCATGCGCGCCTCTGGGCTCACCCACAGAAGGGCCACGTGGCTGCAGCTTTACAGTCCTGACCCTTCTGGAGCAGCAGTGCACGGACAAGACAACGGGGCCCTTTACAAGTCAAGGCCACAGCCTGCCTAACAAGCAGGTTGTTTGGCCACGTCCTAGCAACTGGTAGAAGGTTTGAAGTCAGGCTGATACTAAGAAAAATCAAAACCCCAGCCCAGGATTGGGAAAACAGGTAGTGGTTCCAGGCTTTTAAAAAACTATTTAAGCTCTCCATCCTGTTGTGTAAATTTGTCTTCTTTCTCCATCACTTAGCTGTGACCAGCATTGAGCTGTCCTCCAGTAAAGATGACCTACAGGGGTCCAAAGCCAGGTGGTTTCACCAGCTAACAAGCTGCCTTCCTGCAGCTTTCCGCAGGGCACTCGGGCTCATCGCAGCACAGTGTTTGAGCGGTTAGCCCATGCAGTATTTCAGGGATTGGGCAGAAAATATCGGTGCACATCACAGAGCCATTGGTGGTATTTATAGCTTCACTTTCTCCTCCTACTCCCTGTTCCTGCCTGCACAGAGTATCCATGTTTCCTTTGAGAAATCTGTTGTGGACTGAAAGTGCTGCTGGCTGTGAAATTTAATAAAGGGTGCGTATTTGCTAGAAAATTATTTCTTCGACAAGAACAATCATTGATCTCTTAATCCTGGCTCTTAACAGTGGCCAAGGACTTGCTCAGCCTGTTTCTTGGTCCCTCAGTGCTTTCAAATGTAAGCAGCAAAGCATTTTGTGCTGTCGAATGTGGTTCTGGTGACTCGGTGGCTTGCTACCTTGGAAGGAGGCGCTTGCTCCAGTGTTAAAGACAGGCTCCAAGCAGAGCTTGAGCCACTTCAGTTTTCTCTCAAGAAACCTCTTTTGAATAAAATACTCAGTTTTCCCCCAGACATGTCCAGCCAGCAGAGGCGGCTCACAGCCTCCTAAGACCCCTTCCCATGACTGCTGTGGTGAAATTCCCACTCCGCACTGCGGTCTCATCAGGACCTCGGCTCCCTCTTGTCCCGTGACCTTCCCTGCCCCTCCTCCATCATCCTTCCTCCACCCCTTTCTGCCCAGGCCTCACAGGCTCACTCCGCGAACACGGGCTAAAGGCTTTGGTGCATTGCAGCGCTTTCTCCCAGCAGCTGTGAGCACGATATATTTTCTACGCTAAGGAGGATTTTATTAAGAGAGTGCATACTAATGTCGTATATTACTGCTTTGGGCTGTATACGATGGTCTTCCTTCACACTAAAATGTACGTCTTATTTTAGTACTTGCAAGAGTCTGCTATGAGGAACCAGTCCTACATGCCGAGGACGAGCGTGAAAGATGCCGTCGTAGTTGCCGGTGGCATCCTGGCCGTCTCCCCATCCTGAAGCGTTTGCTTCGAGGAAGGCTCTTAGAACATAGACAGTCTGGTGAGGTGGTTGGCCCAGCTCCATACACCCAGTAAAACAGCCGAACGGTTCATGCCTCACGCTGCCAAGCCGCTGAATTTCAAAGGGAGCAGACCCCGCCTGCCCGCTCCTCCACCCCTGTTCCCACACTCCACGCCTCACCCCCGTGCTCTTCTCGGACCCAGGTGCACAGTGCGCCAAGTCCAGGGTGCCCACGGCCCGTTGCTTTATTTTCCCTTTGGGATTCAGTAAGTTAATGGCTTCCCCACTAACGAAATTAGACTTTGACTCAGTACCTCTCGGTGTATCAAAAGGTATTCATCTGGAACATACCAAATGTTCTAGAAGATCTGCTCTTTGCTCCAGTTTTCCCTAGGGTGTTTCTGGCAGGGAATCTTTAAAAGACATCCACCTGAGTTGATGCTAAAACTTGTCGCCACCCGGAATGTAGTTATTGGTCAGCAAGATGAACATTCTCCGAATTCCCCCGGGGCTGCTTTTGTAGCCTGGTGATGCACTTGTGCCCTCTCTGAGTGGCTTATGCTTAAAAAACAGATAATACTTTTAGATGGCTCACTGCTAGGGCCTGGGACGCGCTGTCCCTGAGATCTGTGTGAAGAAAGCACCCTGAGGGGAGGGGCGAGAGGGAGCGAGGGCGGGTGCTGGTGGGGACCTGGGGGGCCCTGACGGCAGCAAGTCTGCGGGCCTGTGTTGGGGGGTTCTGGGTGAAACAGAAAAGCCAACTCACGCCAAGACAGCTTATTTTGCTGTGATACAAATGTGTAAACTAAAGATTCTGTGGCAGAAATTACGTTTGTGGGCAGGCAAATCAGACAGAGCCACAGGGCCAGCCTCCTCAGCATTTTGAGATCCTATTACAGGACCCACAAATCCTGTCCACACAGGCGGGTGGTTCTTGACTCTTTAAGCAGCTTTGACAGGTCGAAAATTGCATTTGCCTAGTCATGTGACCTCAAAAGAAGTCCGCCATACTTAATCCAGAAATAAGATTCATTTGAGGGAGGCTTGCAGGTCTGTAAATATCATTTGCTTTCCTGGTTAGATTGGGATGCAGAAGGTTTTCAGTATTGTTTTTTAACACTAATGATCACTGAAGAGTATTTATGTACACATGTAATGGGCGGGGGTCCGGTCAAGGTGTTGTATGGGGTGGATTCTCTCGCTGTGATGCAAATGTGTAAAATAAAGATTCCGCGACGGAAATTGTGTTTGTAATCCGAGAGTCAGCGACTGCTGGTGCTTTCTCTCCTCCAGCTCCCTCTCGTGATTTTCTCCTTTGCGATTTTTGTTCATTAAATTAGTTAACTGCCTCCCACCTGCTCCGGCTGACAACAGTGACACCTACTAGAGAAGTCCCAGGCACTTTAGCAGATCCATGGCAGCCACTATCAAAATGCAAACGACGGAAAACCAATTGTAGGTTACTGATGTCCTGCCCACGTGGGGGACAGGCAGGTGCCTTCCGAATCAGGCCCTGGGTGGCACTGCTGCCACTTGGGGAGAGATGGCAAAGCGCACACTGCGACAGGCTTTAGTGCCCTCCTGCTGACGTCGGTTACCAATAGCTCTGGGTTATCCCACGTTGGAAGCAGAGAAATCCAGGATTCTAGACTCAAAGCAGTTTTAGAATTCATTCAGTCGCACCCCCTTATTTTACTAGAAATGTTTAAATGGAGGCACATTTTACATATAAGAGTCATCCTTTTTAAATGTATGGTTCGGTGACTTTTGACAACTGTATATACAGTTCTGTTGCCTCTGCCACAGTCAAGATAGAACATCTCCATCATCCCGTAACGTTCTCTTTTGCCCCCTTTCCGAAACGACCACAATCACTGCTCTGACTACACCATCGCTTAGTTTGCTGTTCTAGAACTTCCTATGCGTGGGCTCGTACAGCACGTCCTCTTTTGCGCCTGGCTTCTTTGATGCAGCACACTGGTTTTGTGATTCATCCACCCAAAGCCCTGCCTTTAAAACTACACAAATTGGGGCCTAAAGAAGGTTATACCACTGCCTCCCAGCTAGTAGGTGTCAGAGCTGAGGTGAGAACCCAGGGCCCCAGCTCCGGCCTTGCTGGAGTGATAAGGATTAAGTCAAGGCCTTGGCCCGGTGCCTGGCACAGTGAGGGCTCAGAAAACAGCCCTATTACTGCTCTTGTGTTTATGATAGTGTTAGGATGATCCTCAGGTCACCATATCATAGACCCTCAGAATGAAAAGGAGCCTTAGAATCCCTGTCGCTGCTACGGTTTTCCGTGGCCCGCCCACAGCTCTTGCCCCTGGCTCTCCACAGGGCTTGCATGTCCAAGGGTGCCCATGGAACAAACCGTGAGGAGTGGGGAGCCCGGCATGAGAGATGGTGAGGCAGCTCAGCAAGGGGACAGCTTGGGAGATACAAAAGTTAGCTGGGCGTCATGGCGCACGCCTGTAGTCCCAGCTATTCAGGAGGCTGAGGCGGGAGGATGGCTGGAGCCCAGGAGTTGGAGGCCGCAATGAGTTAGGATCACACCACTGCACTCCAGCCTGGGTGACACAGCGAAACCCTGTGTCACCCAAAAAAGACTTGGAAAGGACCTCGGGATCATTTAACCCCGTGGCTCCCTGACTGTAGCCAGCATCCGAATCTCCTGCGGGGCCTGTGAATTTGAATTGCTAACAAGCTCCCAGGTGATGCTGTCCTGGACCACACAGAAAACAGGCCCAACCCAGCTCTGTTGAGTCTCTGGTCAGTCTTCCCGCTGGCACCTGTACGAGCTCACCTTGCACAGCGCCCCTGCTGGACCTGCAGTCAGCGGCCCTGGGCCTGCCGGCTGCAGTTGCTGGGAACCAGGTGAGAGCTGGCAGGCAGGGTGCTGGGAGGGCCTGCTCTCCTAATCCGTTTCATGGGGGTCCCCTTGGTGTTCCAGGTCTCTTGGACTCCTTCCTCCCCCACAGCCAGAGCTTTCCCAGTGAGAACCACAGCTGTCGGGGCTGACGAAAGATGAGCTTTAGAAGTCTCGGAGCCCCCGTGCTTGGCGTTAGAAAACCCTGTGCCCGTGAGTCTGGCCACAGCTTCACCCGCTGAGCCTCACGTCGTTTGCTCAGTGTCATGAAGAGCCACCTGGCACAAAGTGAGTGCTCAGCAAACGAGAGCCCTTCAGTGCATGCGCCTGTCCCTTGGGCTGGACTTCATTCGGCAAGACCACTTTTGAGGGTAATAGGTAGTTTCAGAATGTTCGCCCCAGGCAGGGGTTTGCTGAGGTTTCCATCGCTGGGGCCTTGACTGCATACACACTGACCAGCCCAGAACTCCGGCGTGAGGCCCAGGAGACTAACCTGACCTGCTGGCCCCAGAGATGGGGGTGACATCAACCCAGTTTACGGAGTCACTTACTCTGAGTAATATTCACAGGTACCAGGCCAGGGCAGAGTAAGTGCTCGGGAAATACTGCGTAATACTGCGTACTCGAATCGCCACGGAAGCCCTGGAAGAGCAGTTCTGTAACAGGAGATCTAGAAGCCAGCTCCACCATGGACACACATTCCGAGGGTGGACACTTCTTCCGTGGTACAGGATCCTGTCACAGCGTGGGTCATCTCGGGCTGGTCCATTCTGATCAGCAGCTGTCACTGATGGAAAAACATAATCGTCAACAAATACAGTCTGGTAGGCAAAATCTTTGAAGTCAGAGAAATAACGAACTAACAGGGTCCCGAGTACCAAGAGTCTGGGGGCTCTGGGTGGTTCTGATCAAACAGGCGGTGAGCCTAAGTCCGGAGCAGATGTCCACCTGGTCGCCTCCTGGGTGCCAGGACTCTGGGTAAGTCCTTCCAGCCCGACCGCAGGCCCCTTAATTGTCACACCTGCCTTTGGTGGCCTTCCCATCACCAGGAATCTGTCAGATGCAGACAGATGGCTGCACACTCCCTCAGGCTAAGTGTAAGAGGAGGCTGGGAAGTGGTTAGATACGGAGAATAAGTGCCGACTGCCACCCCGGGCCTGCGCCGGCCGGGATCTCTGCGAGGGCCGGTGTTTCTGGGAATTCAGCCTGAACCCCCCAGCACTGCCCCTGCGCCCGTGAGGAGAAGCTTGCTCAGCACTTTGGGTGCTGGGTGTTAGGAGGTCGGTGTGACCCACGGGGAAATGCGCCTTCAACTGCTCCTTCCCAGTTCGCAAGGAAATGCTGATCTCCGTAAAAAGAGGGAATCTTCTCATTAAAACACATCCTTAGGAACTGAGCTTGTGGCCCCAGTCGGCCCCGCTACCAAGGGTTGAACACCGTTCTCAACAGGCCTAGTATTGGGGGGGCCACAGAAGCAGTGAGGAGATGGGAGAACAGAGTGGGGAGGAGAGGCAGCATGGGGACGGGGGCGTTTCCTCCACTTGCCCCCAACACCTGAGCCGGGAGTTCAGAATAGGGAACATAGGTGGGCGGAACGACAGGAACAAAATTTGGACTGCAGATTAATGAAAACAAAAGCTGTGGTCAGCTGAGATAGTGAACATTGCAAAAACACCTTGTTTACTCCAGTTTGGGGAAGCCCCTCGGGGGACGCCTGCACAGATGGAGGGCAGAAGTGTCCTCAAGTAACTCTGACTTCATTGTACCATCATTACCGTAAATTATTACCCCTTGAACGGGCTTTGGAAGCCGTGACACATCCGGGCCTGAACAAATAAAGTAAAAAACTCCCCCGCCCACTGGAGGGGAGGAGGCAGCATCCTCATGGGTCGGGGAGACAGCAGTGCAGGAAGGAGGAAAGAAACGGGGAGCCCAAAGAGACCCCGGAGCCACTGTCCGCTTGGACGTGTGCCCGCTCCGACCCCTTCCGAGTGTACTGTCGTCTGTTTGCTTAAATAACTTTGCTGATTATCTGTCACTTTTAACGGCCCACTTCCATGTCTGTTTGGGAGTGTGTTCGCTAAATAAAACTTTCTGCTCATGCTTCGCTACTTTGGCATTTGGTTTCAGTTCTTTGTTCCTGGACACAAGGACCGAGGAAAATCACATGCCGTTAACACTCCCTCCTGCTCTCCCACCTTTCTGGGTTTTGTTTTATTTTGTCTTTTGAGACAGGGTCTTGATCTGTCGCCCAGGCTGGAGTGCAGTGGTGCGATCATAGCTCACTGCAACCTCGAACTCATGGCCTCAAGTGATCCTCCCACCTCAGCCTCCCGAGCTGCTGGGACTACAGGCGAGAGACACCACCCCTGGCCAGCTCCCACCTTTCCAGGGATCTTGCTGTCACTCGATCCCCCCACTCTGCGTCTTCACCCTCTCCACTTTGCCTGGCCCCTTCCCTCAGCAGTAAAGCTTGTCCAAGTTTTTCCCATTAAAAAAAGAAGACTCCCTGGACAGCAGCAGCCTCCCCCCACTTCTAGGCCAAACCCTTCCCGGTCTGCCTCTGTACCACCCAGCTAACCCCAATGCCCTGCGATCTGGTTTCCGCCCTGCCACAGTCGGCTAAAGTTACCTACGACCTCTGATGGTTTCCTTGACTTTAGCAGCTGGTGACACAGCGGGACATCCTTTCCCTCTTGAGAGGCTCGCCACCCCCTCCTCACACTCTGCACCACCCCAGTCCGACTTCCTGTGGTTTTCCTGGCTCTCAGCTGCTCCGCTTCCTGTGTCCATCCCTTCAGTGCTGCCTTCCTGTGCCCTGGGCCGTCTCCCCCATTCTCTGTCTCTCTGACATCCAGGATTTTACTTCAGCCTAGAGCTGCTCTGAGCTCCTGATGGCTCATTCAGCTGCCTCCTGGGCTGTGTTAAAGGCACATCAAAGCCACGCTTTCCAAATGGAATGAGCACACCCCTCCCCAATCCTGGAGAAAAAGCCCAGCCCTTGTCCTGGCTGCTTCCCTTTCCCCATCCCCATCCCCGGGCTAGGTTCAAGTCCACCCACTTCTCTCTCCCACTGCTACCACCCACGCCAGCCACCCCACCCCTTGTCTGCATGGTGGCCTGGCCCCCGGCCTCTCCCTGCTTCCAGCCTATTCTCCGTGCGTTAGCTTTTCAAAAGTGCCTGCCCTGTGTTAAGCACAGAGATACAGATGTGAGCACGGATGCAAGATCAATAAACAAAATCAACTGTTTCTCTATAGATTTGTTATAAGCAGTCCTAAAATAAAATTAAGAAAACAACTCCATTTACAATAGCATAAAAAAATGCTTAGGAATAAATTTAACAAATGCAAAGCTTATACTCTGAAAACTATAAAATATTGAAAGAAATCTAAATAAATGGATCA